ACCATTGGTATGACCAACACTACGGATTTATAGCAAAATTGCCATATAAGGAAATTACCGGCAATGTTTAATCCGGATATGTAGATCGATGTGTAAGCCGTTTTATCCCTTGCATCTGAGGTAATTGCGGGCAAATTTACCTAAGTACGCATGCTTAATTATCTCATATCTCCTGGAAGATATGTAAGGGATGATTGTAAAAATAAAAATAAATAAGGTATTTTGACGAAGAGACGAATTGAAATATCTCGCGATCCAGCGATCGGACTTGAGGCTGTTCCATACTAGACAATAAAAATGGTATAACTTTAAGTTACCAGTTAATTTTTTAAGATTGTTTTTTAGTTATAGCATTTTAAAGTTTATTTAAAATTCTATAATGGATAATGTATTAAACAATATTAAAACTTTAAAACGCAAAAAAAAAAAAAAATTTCAAAAAATGAAACATGTCTAGTATAAGCTCAGCTTGGTTTATACTAGTGATGCGGTAGAGTTGTCCCAATCAAGTCCCAATGGATTTTTTGATATGAAAGTTACGGTGTGGCGTACCTTTTTATTAAGCTACAAATAAGCCGTAACTCAATTTGCCGTATCTCAAAAATTTGGGACGATTCTACCGCATCACTAGTTTATACCTCCCTTGATTTGTATCGGGTATGTTCAAGGTCATCGGGTGTGGTATTTTGTAAGAGACCGGGTATAATAAATCAATGGCCGATTTAATAAAATTTTTTTTCTAATGGGCTGATAAATATACTCTTTTCACAATATACCTACATAAGCCATACAATATACCCGGGTATAAATCAAGGTTTGTTAGGTAGAATGTAAATACCCGGTTAGTTTACACGGTATAGGCTGCCAACATACCAACATACCATCCTATTCCTTTCAGTGAGTCGATCCAATTTATCATGATCATTATCAATCTCAAAACAGTTTATTAAGTAAAAACTATATATATAAACTGTATGAACAATCGTAGATATGAGCTAACTAAAAAAGGCAATGGACATCAAAAAAAGAAATGTACTTACAAAGTTATAGTTATTTCATAGTCGGATTGTGTATAACGATAACAAATATACCAGATACGTATATACGTATATACCTGATACGTATACGTAATACGTATATATATAGTATATACTATATATACATGTATATATTTTTGGACGATAATTCAATGTAATGTGGCCTGAATTATGACTTAATTACTTAATGTTGGCCAAATCAAAAATTTCCTTGTATATATGCAAACTGCTTTAGATATTCAAACGTCCATGTATTATTAAATTTTTGTAAAGTATATTGTTTAGTTTATAGATAATGATAACAGATACAAATCACTCTCGCTAATGAGCTCTCGATAAAGTGAAGACTAATTAAAATATACTCAAAGCCAGTCTATATAAATTTTCTCGATGTTGTGAATTGACTAATAAAGCTCTAGTTATAGTGAATTTTTAAAAAATTTTTATTAATGGAACCGATCACTTCACTATAACGAAAGCGACTTGTAATTAATAATCGAAAATGGTTTAAAATAATCTCGAATTGACCAAATAGATAGTATAAAAACAAAAAATTTTTTATATATTTGTAATTTAAAAAAATTGATGATTTTCAAAACGTATCAAAATATATTTATTTGAATTATTAGATGAAATATTAATTTTGATAAATTTTTCAAAATAGTTAACCAATTAAATACTTGTAGATTATTCTAAAAAAGATTTGGATTATAATACAGATTTTGACAAGATAATATTGCTATGTTTGGTAAATACCAATTTTGGAAATTTACCTGACTAAATACTAGTAAAAGGAATAGATACACATGTACATAACTTTGCATTTTATTGGCTAACATACATTTGCACCAGTAAAAAAACCTAGTGTGATTTTATCACTAGAGTTACTGGAATATTGGGGGAAATCTGGTTGCCCAGTGGAGTTCCAGCTTTCAGTCAACATCATTGTGTATCAAACTACCACCAACTTTGCTTGTTACTATATCCATTTGAAGTGCCATAATTTCCACCACCATAGCCGCCACCACCACCACCATAATTTCCTCCGCCATAATAAAAGCTATTTAGGAAAAAATAAAAATAAAAAATAAGGTCACTAGTGAAAATCAATCATTAATAAAATGATTAAATAAAAAATATTACTTACTCAGTACCACCACTTCCATAGCTTCCTCTCTCACTGTTACTGCCAAATTTACGATAATCACGATTTTGACCACGACCTCTACCACGATTACTACTATTACGAGAACCATAATTTGAAGAAGTTTCCCTTGCGATATTTTCCAACCAACCAGGAATTTCCTGGTTGGCTTCCTTTAACAAATCAATCAATTCTCTAACAATCCCTTTATTACCACGGTTGAAGAATGCCGTTGATATTCCAACGTTACCAGCGCGTCCAGTACGACCAATTCGATGTACATAATCATCGATATCTGTGGGTAAATCATAATTAATGACATGAGTGACGTTAACAATGTCCAATCCACGAGCGGCTACAGCAGTCGCCACCATGATAGGTGTACGACCTGTACGAAAAGATTCTAAAGCGCGTTCACGCTCACGCTGTGATCGATCGCCATGAATTGATGTAGCAGGAAATCCTGATTGAATAAGAAATTCTGATAACATATCAGCCATACGCTTTGTTTCAACAAAAATCAATGTAAGTCCACGATCAGAATCTGGCTGAGCATGTAGAATATCTAATAACACTGATCGTTTATCATCATCTTCAACATATTCAATTTTTTGAGTGATATTTTCGCTTGTACTGCCAACACGGCCAACACTCAAGAAAACATAGTCCTTCAAAAAATCGCGAGCAAGAACTTGAATATCTCGAGGAAAAGTGGCGCTAAACATAAGTGTTTGTCGATCATTAACACCAGGCATATCTATAATAATAATTAGCAAAAGAGAATTTAAGAATTTTTAAAATCTTTAATATTAAGCACAAAATAAAAAACACAGTACCTTCATTTTCCACTATACGACGAATCTGAGGTTCAAATCCCATATCCAACATACGGTCAGCTTCATCAAGAACTAAATATCGTGTTTGGGATAAACTTACTCGGCCACGTTCAATTAAATCAACAAGTCGTCCAGGAGTGGCGGTCAAAAGATCACATCCGCGGTCAATTTGTCTCAATTGGGAAGAAATATCAGCACCACCATAAACAACACATGGTCTTACCCAAGAACGATAGGCAAATTTTCGAGCTTCATCATAAATTTGCATAGCTAATTCACGTGTTGGTGCAAGGACCAATGCAACTGGATAAGCTTTACGACTACGGTACATACCACGCGAATAACCAGGTTGTTCGGGTGGAGGAGGTGAAGGACCATGTTTAAAGAGTTCTGACAAAATTGGGAATAAAAAACCTCCAGTTTTACCAGAACCAGTCTGCGCGCAAGCCATAAGATCACGACCAGCTGTGACAATTGGTATTGAATATTTTTGAACCGGAGTGGGAACACTGTAACGAGCTAATTCAATATTAGAAATGAGATGTTGATCCAAAGGAGGGCTGGTGAACTATATAATATAGAAACAAAAGAAATAATAAATTAAAAATTATTATTATTATTTGTTAGATACAATTATAATATATACATACATTTGAGACACCTTCTGGAACATTATTTCCGCTAGCTTCAACAGGAATATCATCATATTTTTCGAAATTGATACCAGTATGTTGACGATCAGGATCATCAGGAGAGCCAAATAAATCACGTTCCATACGCTGATTTCTTTGAGAAACAATATGAGCACCATCATGCCAAGAACCATAACCATCTTCACCTCGACGAGTTAAAACTTCATCAGGAACAGGACCGCCGCGACCACCATAACCGGAACCCGAATTATTATATCGGTTGTTACCACGATAGCCCGCATTCCAGCGATCACCTTGAGATGATGCGCGATCGCTCCATCCGCCACGTTGAGATGTGGAATATCCCATTTCACTACGACTACCCCCTCCCCATGCATCTGGACGAGGAAATGATGTATGACGACTATCCCAATTTACCGCTGCTGCCGCACTGATATGAATAAATAAGAAAAATAAAGGACATATATTATTTGATCGATAGCTTTTATAACGTTCATTATTGAAAATAAAACTTTTAATAAAGGAATTACTATCTGAGAAATTTTCAAAATTTCAGGCAGGGATAAAAACATATTTTACGCTATGATTCATATTAAGGAAAAAATAAAATAAAATGAAAGATCATAAACCTTTCGTTTCTTTGATGCCATCCATTTGGACGACGTGATTGGAGAGGTGGAACTAATTCGTCAGACTCATTATTGTATTGATCATTATTTCTTGGGGGCTGTAATTGCTGTTGTTGTTGTTGTTGTTGTTGAGGTTGAAGTTGAGGTTGAGGTTGAGGTTGAGGTTGAGGTTGAGGTTGAGGTTGAGATGAGTTTTCACTATTAATATTTCTGTTAGGTTGACCTCTCAAATGGGGAGGAACATAGCGACCAGCGGTAGGTTTCCCCGAACTTTGATTGTCCTTGATGCCTAGTTGCGCTGCATTTTGAAATGGTGAGAAAATTAGATTACAAAAATTCCATAAGATTTGAACGATGGACATATTTAAGGACAAGCAAATTAAGAGATCAGAGTAAAAAAAGAATCAAAGTCAGATTTAATGTTGTATTTCTAAAGAAACTACGGTGTGTTTACAAATGACTTTATGATTTGCAATCTATGACGAAAGGATAGAGTTACTTACCAAATCTTTGCTCTAGGCGTGCATCGTTGGAGTTGCCATTGCTCATAATTGAATGTTTTTTCTTTTCTAAAGTAGTCGTAAACGACAGAAAAGTAAAAATATATATATATAATTTTTTTTTTTTTTTTTTTATAAAAAAAAGAAAAGTAAAAAGATAAGAATAATAAATAAGTGTGGAAAAAAAATTTTGATTAATATTAAAAATTATAATATTATTTGGCGGACATGTATTGAGTAAAAAAGAGCCAAACATAAAATTTCCTAGTATGGTCATACTCAAAAAGCTTTTATTATACAAATTATTTATTTGGACAATATAGACAACAAAGTGTATATCGGAGCCTACGGAAATAAAAAATGTTGGTCATCACATTCATCACAAGACAGAAAATCATATACAAAATTAGTGAAACTTAACGTTAAAGAAGCACCTACAACTTATGCCAATTCTGGAACAATAACCAGAAATAGTTGTTTAGCTATATATAAAAGTAAGTTCAAGCCGCCACCAATTTTTCAAAAAAAATGGACATTTTTCACTCTACAATACAATAACGTGCTGACGTGTGTGACCCTTATTTGTAATCTCAACCGGAAATTCTGAATATCGAATGTCGAAACAAGGGTTCTGAAAAAAGTATGTTACTAATACGCATTGCTAAGGTCACGTAAGGGTTATTAACATCTGATTTTAATTAATATTACTGTATTAAAAAGCGGCATTTATAGTATAAACAATGGCTGCGCTCTATTTATTATTTACTATAAGTGAGGGTTGTCTTCATTGTCATCAAGTTTATAATAATACAAAATAAATTAGTAAAGCATATAGCGATAGAAATATTAGAATATTTTTATCTACGGTATATACCTATATATATATATATATAAACATATGCTAAAACTTTAAAAAATTAAATTTTACAGTATTATCGGATTTATAGCTAAATTTTTTAAAAGCTAGATCGATATAATGAATTTAATTTTAAATTTTGAATACATAAAATATATCTGTATATTAATATTACTACAATATACAGTATTTTCTAATATTTATTATAAAACGCACATATATATACAACTTTAAATTGTTTAATTTAAATAGTTTAAAAATTTTAAGTAGTACTTCTATATACTTTCTTTTTTTTTTTTTTTTTAACAGTTATGCTTTTATTATATGGGTTGTTGCCTAGCAAATCGATGCTTAGAGAGGTTCTAACGGAAATTGAGATTTTTAGTGGATTATATTCCCAAGTATGTGCTTTATTCATAGTAAAAGTTTGGATACTTATTAGCATATTATAATATAATACAATTTTGTACGCAGTTTTTTTATTTAATCCGGGGTTATATTCTAAATTTAGGTCGGTGGTTAGTATAACAATGAAATTTTTATTTAAGGGGTGATCTACATACATATTGTTATACAACAGCGAGAAAGTTAATATTCTTTACTATTGTGCTCATTTGGAGAAAAACACAATTCGTCTTTGTAAGGGTCATGTACATATGGATGAATCTCTCTGAATAAGTATGCTTGATGTTTTAAAAACAAAGGTTTTAAGGGAATCGTGTCTAAAGGCTTGTATGAATCAAAAGAAATATTATTTCAAATCTTGGTTTCAGTTCTTGAACCATTAGACTCTAATGACATAAAAACCATTCCAGGTTTGTCATAATAAAAATAAAAATACCAAAATGCTCATATACCATCATGTTTAATAAAATAAGGTAAGAGAAAAGTTTCAAAATCATAATAATTCCACCCTACTTGTCCATTTTTATTATATCTAACTGCTATATTACTTCTGTCTTTTTTTGATTGATTGACAATTGTTTCAACATGGTCCATGCTCATAATATCATGTTTATGATATTTGGATTTAATAACTCCAAAATATGAATTGCAAATAAACTTGGTATGATCTGAAACCATGAAATTAAGTTCAATTGTATCAAAGCATTTGATTATAGTAAGCCATGAATAAAACCAAAGTGTGAGATTATTTTTATTCTGATCCCCACAATTATTATATGTAACTTTTAGATGTCTTTGTGTTGGATTCCAGTTAAGTAAACTATTATATACTAGATTGATAGTAGTATTAGCACCCTTAGGTGTTTTCATTGGCAATTGATGTTTGCCAATTAAATAATTTCTTTGTGTCATTGGTTCTAAGCTAGTATTAGCAACTCCAAAAACATGAACATTAAATAATGATTTAAAAAATAAACCCCCAGGCTGTCATGGTGAATAAAAAATTGGAACATTTAGCTCAGTTATTACAGATATGTACTGTATTAGATATTGGTTGTTTATTAATATTAATATTTTCATTATAATGTTGACGTTTAATTGCTGCAGCTGCACGATAAAGGTCATATTCTTCTTGAAGCTTTTATTTATTTTTAACATCATTAGTAACTCAAATTTTGGCACAAAGTTGTTCACATTTATCACATAAATCTGATGCCTAAGTCATAAACCAAATATGAGGTGCAACTTCTTTCCAAATTTGATAAAATGATCTGTAGGCTGTGATTTTATAGTTTTCATCTTTACTAGATTTAATATAATCCTCATAAATACTAGTATATGTTTTGTCTCTAGGAAGTGAAACTACTGGTGTTGAATGGTTATGCAAATTTCGGCCGGGTGAAGAAAATCCATAAATACCAGCATAGTTATTAAAGTAATTACTAACTTCTTGCTATATTTAATCATTAATTATAGCACTATCTGGTTGAGTTGAACTACGCCCTGTATTACTATGAACTATTTCAACCATTCCATGATTTTTAATATGTGCTTTAATTCTATTAAGGCGAGTTGAAGAAACTTCAACCAGTATTAAATAGGTGGGTAAATATACAATGTGTTGATTATTATAACAATATTGATATTTAATATGATTTTGTATTTCAGAATTGTCCTTTTCTTATAATTCATGATATGCGAATAATGCAAGCTATCCTTGGATCCAGGTATCTAAAACATTGTGAGACATATTTCGGCACTCTTCTTGTCTTCTAAAAAATTGATGAAATCTGATTTTTCAAAACAAAACATGTTTTTTTTTTTACTTTTTCTAAATGTACATGTTTTTTTTTGCCAAAACTCCCATAATTCTTGAACATTTTGGAAAATAACTTCATCTTTCTCATTATAATCTTCTATTCCGAGTTCAGCAAAAGAGAGTGCAATATTAACAATGTCAATTTCATGATCATCAAAGTATTCAGCCATTGCTATTGTAACAAAATAAATCAAAGTAAATTTTTATAAATAAATTAAATGAAGGCTTTTTTTACAATTATGACAAAGTGAATCAAATGAATTACACAACTATAACAAAGTAATCAATGCGAATTTTTACAAATTTATTACAAAAACTTTAATAAATTCTTTTATTAAAATACATAAAAGATTAAATTAATTCTAACAATTTTAATATAAATATCTTATTAATAGCTGATAAAACATTGTTATGATCAAACTGAATAATTACATCTAATGATGTTGCTTTAACTATTTCATATCAATATCGAGATTTTGGGTGCTTTTAAGCATCTCAAAATAGAAATATGCTAGAACTAATCTTAGCGAAAATATTTTAACCTAATCAAACGTTATTGAAATCAAGATGAATAAGGTATGGGACATGTAATTAATTACATCAAGGAAAATATATTATTATTATTACTTTGTTTAAAAAATTATTTGGTTCTGCATATTATATTTACCATTGAAGAATTGTATGAAAAATTTGTTACCGATTATGTCAAAATTACCTTATTTCTTGCGGTGAATTACTACATTTTGACTAATATCAATGACCACATTTTGTAAAACCAATATTGATTGAGATCTTTATTTTGATTCATCGTAGCAATTGAGCACTATTATAGTCATAGCAACAACAGTAATAAATATGCTTTAATAATATCTCTATTCGAACTATAAAATGTTTAAAATATTGTATGAATGGCTAAAATTATATATACTATTTCAATCTCTAGCAAATTATATTCTTGAAAGTAACTATAATGAAAGTGGAGCACAATATATAATTTTAAAGGAATATAGTTAATTTTTCTGTTATCATAATAATATATGGGTTATGCAAAATTCTATTTTTATTACAATACCAAATTATGCATAAAAATGATTAATTATATATAAAAAATTCATTTCTAAGCATCGATTTGCTAGGCAACAACCCATATGAACTTTGAATAAATTGACACCAAAAGGTGCAACTAAAACTTCTCAAACAAAATTGCTTAAGACAATCTGCTATAACAACTGTTTACTTCTCTCAAAATTTTTAACTTTGTATTATATAGATTTCCTCTTGATACTTGTATACTGTATTATAACAATTTAACTTTCTCTTTTAATTCTTCTTTCTTTTCAAGAAACAAAAGAGTAAAATTTACAAAAAGGTTGTATAAAAGTAAATAAAAAGAAAAAACAAAAAAGAAAGAAAAAATAGATACTATTGGGAGAATTAAATAAGTACAAATCTGTAAAAACCTGTGAAAATGCAGATTTTTGCAAAATTTTTTATATTTTGAAATTTTGCACAGAACTATTATTTAATTTCTATAGCTATAGCTAGTGAGTCTAAAGTTTTGTACAAATTTTTATTTAATTTATTATTTAATTTTTTTGCAAATCTGTACAAAACAGCACTAAAAAATTTTTTCAGATAACAAATTACAAAAAAGAAAAAACAGTAAGAAATATATATATATATAAGAAAAACAGAAATAATAGTACTAATAATACTTGTATTAAGTCTAAAAAACTCTTAAATCTAGTTTTACTCTAAACTTAGTATATAGTATATGTAATA